GCATAAAACGACAAGCAATTGCAGAGATTCTCAGTTAAACAGCGCGCGGTGTGATTTTTTTTCAAGTATAAAGCTGCTTGCTCTCCCACCCAAAGTGACTTTAACAATTCAAAATCTTTTAAAGTTGTTATTAGTAGAATCTTTCACACACAGACACTTGCATAATAGTACATTTGCATTTTCCCGGAGTTACATCAGATTGATGGAAGTTATTACGGAATTTTTAAAGTTATAAAAATAAAAAGCTTTAAAGAGCATCGCTTTAGAAAATTTGTAAGTAGTTCATGTTTAAAACTGACCCCACTAAGGACTTCTGGGTTTGTCCGAAGATTGAACATGGAGCCTCTCTCCAATATAATCTTTTGACAGTTAACTCTATTGACATTGAAAACTTATGTGGTCTTGGTCTTCTCTGACTAAAGAAGCAGACCAAAGTAAGTAAGGCAAATAATCGAAATGTGAAAGCTAAGTAACATCTCACTTACTGATTCACAATTAAGGAATCTTCATACAAATCCAGAGCCTTTATATGCCTTTATAAACAATCTTTGTGAGCAACCTATAATTAGAACCAAGGTAAGCAAAAGTTTGCTAAAAAAAATCTACAAATACACCAGCAGCTACAGATCAGAAGACCAGTGTAATAAGCTGGCAAAGGAACCGCAGAAAAATCAAAAGGAAGAATGACTCTAAGGCAAACGAGGCATACTTGTATTCGCACTATCGACCTGAACAACAAATCAGAGGACATAAGTGACTCATGTATACAGCGATTCCATTCGTCAAGGACTGATCTGGTTCCAGCATTGTGTAGAGAAATATATTTAAAAAAAAAAACCAATTATGTATCAACCCATTAACCATGCTATAAAAATAACATATGTCGATAAGGAATCAACAAGACTCTTTAAAGGTTTTTTTTGTTAGCATCCAGAATCTCTCTTTTGTTTTCTCTACTCGTTCTTCCAAGCGTACAGAATCAACGAAAAACCAAAACTTTGAGACTTGGAGTTCGTTGTTGTCATGTCCTGTGAGAAAGACAAGCTCTTCTCATTAGATTGACAAGTCCTGAACATGAACACGGCATTTCCCGCCGGAGACATCCCAAAGAGCCAACTATGAACATCCCATAGAACTTCCACAGCCATTCTATTAACAATTATTGTATCGTTTCCACGAAACTTCCACTTAAGCCGCTTCACCTGCAACAATGTCTTTCCATCCACACGAACAATGAGACAAGGATCAGTGAGACTCGTGTCACATTCAATGACAAGATCATGGATTTTCCCATCCGCGCAAAGCTGAGCTTTTGTTGCAAACACTCTCTTACCAAAGACATGCTCTTTCCTGGCAATAAACACAGCACCTAGAGATGAAGGCGAAGCGTTGGTCTTCTTGAAAGCTTCTTTTTTCATATCACCAAGAAGCAGAACCATCTCTTTGTCTACAACAACACCCAAATAGAATCCTCCCAAAGCTTCAGGTCCTGATCCGAATTTTGCGGATGATAGATCCCAGAAAACATCAATATTACAAGAATACGCCTCTAAACTCTTTGACCCTTTTCGTTTCGTGAACAGCCACGGCTTAATCTCGACTTTACACAGACTTTGGTTACAAGAATCATCAACTCCAACGGTTACACTCTGACCCATCAGATTCTTAGTCCATGTGACTGTGATCAAGCAATTTCTTCCCCGAATACGACACTGGTAGACGCAAGTGACCAAATTCTGGGCATTTTTCCCGGAGTTTGAAGACGATGAATCCGCAACTTGAACGCCATTTTCACCAAAGCAAGAAGGAAAATCCTTCATTTCTACAAAACTCACAATTCCAGCT